AGCAGAGGACTCTTTAAAGTAGAGACACTTCATACTGATATACACCTGAACATCAGCAGGAGAGGACTCTTTAAAGTAGAGACACTACATACTGATATACACCTGAACATCAGCAGGAGAGGACTCTTTAAAGTAGAGACACGACATACTGATGTGTGTGTGTGTGTGTGTGTGTGTGCGTGTGTGTGTGTGTGTCTTTGTGTGGCACCCACTTGACGTTGGTGTTGGTGCAGATGATGTACTCGATCTCGTCAGAGTAGGGATTCTGGAAGGTGAAGCTGCTGGTTCTGATCAGCATCCACTCCCTGTTCTTCATCCTGAAGCGGTACATGACAGAGAGAACCTGGCCCTTCAGCTTCACCACCTGCAGAGGGAGGACCACATTCAGGAGTATTCATCATTTAATATGCTTAAAATGAGCCATTACACACTAGAACCTTTATTTTTAGATTCTGATGCCAAGACGTTTGTACTTTTATTTTACTAAGATTTTAAACACAGCACTTTGACTTGTAAGTATCTTTACAATGTACTATTGCTCCTTTTACCTAAGTATAAGATCTGAGTACTTCTTCCAGCACTGTATCTGTATTCCTGACTGTAAGAAGAACCCACCTGCTGGAAGCTCTCTCTCAGGTGACTCTGGTCCTCAGGATGGCAGAACTCCAGGATGTCTTTCCCCAGCAGGTCCTGCAGGAAGACACAAAAGATTTCATCTCATCAATCCAGAAGTTATCGTCATGAATAAAGTGTTTAGAACTCAAATCAAAACATGGAAATAGACCGTGCAGAAGGAATGCTGTGGTCACAGATTTGTTTTCCTCTAAACTCGAATCAAAAACAGATCTGAGAGGGTTATGATGCGTTCACACCGGAGGCAAAATAAAGATTCGCCAAGCATCAGCAAGAGTTTCACCGCGGCATCATTTGGGTTTACTTGCGTCACATCAACTGGACGCGCTGGAGAGGAGGCGGGACTTATTTCCATGTAGATACCGACAAAAAAAAAGAAAAAAGGAACAGCCTTCCATCTCGTGCACAAACTTATCTCGTGCCCTCATTGGTCATGTGCGCGTTCGTGTGTGTTGGAGGAGGGGCTCTGTAAGGAAGTCTGAAGGATGGGGCAGATTTTCTCTGGTTGTGTACTTTCAAATTCTTGCGCACTCGAGCTGGTTTCTCCGTTCTTACCTACCCTACCTTTAATGCTTTAGCAAGTGTGTCAAAAGACGTTTACAATCTGTGTTTTCTGAAAGGAGATTGGATCAATCAGGCTAGGCTAAGCTACCGTTGTAGCTGCTCAGTCCATGCTCAAAATAACGTCATATAGACAAAAATAAAGTAGCAACCTTTCACCTGCTAAAATAAGCGATATCTATCCTATAAGGTAAAATAATCATTCATAAAGATTTTAAGTTTAGTTCAGGGGATAAAGTGATTCACAGACTAGGTGCAAACCTTTACTTAAAGCAGGAAGCTAATGAGAGAGTTTAATAATGCAGGTAAGAAATAGGACAAAGGGTCTGAAGGAATGTCACAAACACATTTTGGTAGCTGCTCCAAACAGCATGTATTTCTTATGATCGAGCAGAAACAGAACTCCTGAGTCACCGACTTCTTCTTGCTGAGTAGAACAGTCAACAAACACTGACCACAGGAATGCTTCACATAGCAGCACACATTTTTTCTTCCTCTATGCTTATTTCCACTGTAAACACAGTAACAGGTGATCAAAGCAGGGCTGCTGAGTCATGGAATATGTTCCGTGTGCAAAACATGAGGACTTCATCTGATCCCCATCGTGACCAGGGTGCTGCAGCAGAGACTCACTGAGTTATTCATGATGATTGGAATCAAGTGTTTGTTTTTCACATAGGAAGCCTTATTTTGTATAAGTGAACTACACTGACTTCTCATTTCAGCAGAAGAGTGTTAATATATTGATCAAACTGTGACTATTAACATAAAATCCTGTTTGGAAGTTGATAATAATCAGAACAGCATGTCTTCTCACGGAAATACAATCTCATTCACAGTTTCATTCCAATCCATTCTACATTTAATCCTTTTTTTTATTGCTGCAAAGGCAATCAAATGCTTCAAATTCATACTAATGTGAATCGTTAAAAGGGGAAAGATTATGCCTTTTAGCAACTGGAACGTTTTTATTGTAAATCCACTGTGGAGAATGTGTTGAGTTAATTGGTGACAGCAGCGTTCAAACAAGTGTCAAAGTTGATGCAAGTGGAATGAATCATTGAATGAAAATGTTTTTTCTGTTTAAACGAGTGAGAGCTGATGGGTTATAGAATAAAATATAATTGAGTGCTGTCCAATTGAAATCTGTATGCAATGCATATATTCTCACTTTATCAGACAACAGGTGACACTGAGGGTGTGTTTTCATTGACCGACAGTTAAAACAGCAGCATACAAGAAAACAGGGAGCTATCTGACAAAATCGAAATGTATATAACACCCAAGCGTGTTTCAAATTAACGGCTGGTTCATTCTGCGGTGAGGTCGATTTACGATGTACCGCTTTAATAAGTAAAAAACCTAATTAAAACCCCATAAAAAAGTGAATGTTGGCAACTTGGATATGAATGTATAGGCAGATGTCCCTTGCATCTTTAAAGAGGCCCTATCATGCTTTTGGGGGTTTTCCTGTAGTGTGTTATATATGTTTTTGTCCATGTAAATTGTCTGCAAAGGCTAAAATCCCAAAGTTCACTAACCTGCTAGCTAATGCTATCATGTTTAAACTGTTGTGCTTATAAGCTGAATGCCCATTAACTTTATCTACAAATTGTTTAAAAAATATGGTGATGGTTTTTCGTTCACAACAAGCTGAAATGTGTTCAAGTGTCCAGTGGTGTTTGTGGTTACAAGCTGTATAATACATTTTGCTAACAACTCTAATTTGGTTTTCTTGCTTTTAGGCTTTCAGTTAGATGAGTTGATACAATTACGGCGCTGCTCTCTGCTCAGAGTCTGTGTTTTCATTTCATAGATACAGTATTGGCCACAACATTTCACGCAAAAAATTCCCAAATTTGGATCAATAAAGTACTTATTTTCTTATCTTATCTTGAAATTCAAATAAAACTACCCCTGCAAAAGATGGCAAACTTCGATTTAGTTTGGCTAACTTGCTCACGTAAGCTAACACATCTCTAAGCTGTTGACCAATCACAACAGAGCCGGCCAGCTAACCAATCAGAGCAGACTGGGCTCTGGTTTCAGACAGAAGGTGAAAAGAGGAGCTGCAGCACAGGCAGTATGAGAAATATAAAGACCTTTTTGAACATTAAAGCATGGAGACATGTCCCAGTAGAGACACAGTAAATATGAGCAGAAAATGTCCTCTTTAATGTCAATATTCATGACAGTATCAGAATGGTCATTTTAATCCTCTCAGCTCACCTGAGGCTGATAGCCAATCACGTTGATGCAGCGCGGGTCCACGAAGGTGATGACACCGTCTGAGTTGTGGCGCGACAGGAACTCTGTGGGCACCGACAGGCCGTTCATGTCCATGGAGACCGGAGAGCTGGTCACCTGAGGGGGGGGAGCATCATTTACATACATGAAGAGGAGAAATCTGCAGTACAAATACAGCTACAAGTGACATGTTTCTATAGAAAGAATATGACTAAAATAGAGATGATCTGAAGTTCTGTTCCCTTTTATAGTGACATGTCTTTAACAGATGTAGAGGCTCTGAGGACAGGGGCTGTTGGAAGCTGTACAGTCATTAACGTCCCCTGAGGAAAATGTGTATTTTTTAAGATGGAGCTACTTAAAGAGTGTGATTAATTGATTGATTAGTGACAAAATGTGTCCGCAGACAGACAGATATATTAACACTTGGCAAAGTAATGAAAGGCCTCTGTGGTAGCTCCTGCTGCATTAGATATGATGACACCCAGACTCACAGGGTGGAATCAAACTGCTAATTTAATCATTCACAAGTGTAATAAAACTTAACTTTTGAAATCAGACGCTCAGCCAGCTATCTTTACCCTTGAAGTGTAAAACCTTTATGGAAGCATTATTCAATATTTAGCCAGCTTGTTGAAATAATGAGAGTGTGAAAAACACTGAGCCTTCACAGGAACAGGTGAGACGTGATGATGCTGGAGGAGTGCTTCCAGGAAGTTTGACATTCTTGTAAATCATTTAAGTGTTTAGTGTTTTCACAACTGAGTCTGGTAGCATGTGAAAGAAACACAGAGTTATATCTCTCACAGGCTCCGACCTCTACTGGACTCTATGGGTACTACCTTCTATGCAAGCATTCACCTACTGAGATTTCAATAGAGTGGCGAAGTCACGCCCATCTACTTCCGCCCAATGGGACCTTATTTGTGAAAAATTATCTATTGAAGTCAATGGAGAGAGAAAACTTATCTTTCGATCCCGTTTTAATTGTGCCACGAATTACACATATGATGTTTGTCAATCTTCAAAAATAATTTCCATGTCAAAAAAGTCACAGTTTGTCGTAAAACTGTTGAAATATAAGACTTTGAAACATACGCAACTAGAAAGACTACAAATCCCAGAGTCGCGTACATTAACGTTACACATTACACTCGTGTTACTCACCGAAACCTTGTAAAGCCGGTCCCGCATGCTGGCTCTTACGGAACCAACTAACTCCCCTTTTGTGTATGTACAGTTCTCAACATGGCCAGACTTGTACTGATTTTCACCTCTTTTAATACTTTTTTTTCTGAAAGAAAGAGGTGAAATGTGCTAATGTGACGGCCATCTTGGTGTTGGTGACGTATGCAAGACCAGAGTTGTAGTTCATTGAGCGTTTCACACAAAAAAATGTGTTACTTCAGTTTTACGACACATTTTTTTTTTTTTGACTTGAAAAATTATCTTTTAAATTGACAAACATCATATGTGTAATAACTGCATATGCGCCGCCTGCAGAGGTGGTTCTCCAGCCTGCGTTTGGATCCCAAGAGGCACAAACGGCGGCTGGTGACCATCCCCCCCTCAGTGGAGGGCAACCTCCGGTTTTGGGGGTCCCCGGATCACCTCCGGAGGGGGTCTCCACTGGGACAGGTGACCTCCTACATCATAGTGTTCACGGACGCATCCAGAACAGGATGGGGAGGGACCTGCCGGAAGAGGGCTATAGGTGGGCGCTTGGCTCTAACAGAGTCTCGACACAGCAACCCCCTAGAGTTACGGGCGGTAGTGTTAGTCCTCCAGCATTTAATGACCCTAATTCAAGGGAGACATGTAATGGTCGGGAGAGACAACAGCACCACAGTGGCTTATGTCAACAGACAGGGCAGAGTCCGCTCCGCCGCCTTGTTGGCCACAGCGGAGAGGCTGTGGTTATGGGCTTCAGAGGTGGTGTTATTTCTGAGAGCCCTCCATATCCCAGGACTGTAGAACAGGGGGGCCGACCTCATGTCGAGGGGCGGCCCCCTGCCAGGCGAATGGACGAAAGTGTCCGAGTTAACCGCTTTGTCACTGCACCCGAGCTGTTTACTGATTCGGGGTGACCGGAGCAGCGCGACACTCAGACCGAAC